GCCCTCACAACCTAATAACAACTTTTCTAGGACTTTTTGAAACATTTCAGGTGCACACGACACTTTAAACATTAGTCTCTTATATCGGAACAAACCTTTACTGGTACTAAAGGTTGTAATGTACCTACTGTCTTCATCTATCTCCAATTGATAGAAAGCATTCTTTATGTCGAGTCGGGAAAAAATTTAGCTTTCCTGAAATTAGGCAAGAGCTCATCCATTGTCGGGAGTGGGTGATTTTCCCTTATGATGGCTTCGTTTGCCCTCCTCATGTCGATGCATATCCGAATATAACCGTTTTCTTTTAGTACTGGCACCATTGGTGATACCCACGGTGATGGTCCATTGACCTTTTCAATTATATCGGCTTCTTTAAGTTCGGCTAGCTTCTTGTTCACCTTTTCTTCCAAAGAAATTGTTATTCTTCTGTACGGTTGAATTACCGGCTTGACTCCCTTATTGATGGGAATCTGGATTGTAATGCCTTTAAATTTGGGAAAGGTGCTGGCTGATGTTATTGACAGGTACGCAAATTCTAAGAGCGTCAAGTTGAATTGCGCTTGTCTTTTCCAGAAGGTTACGTGTCCCATTTCGAATCACATATAAAGTTGCTTTTTAGTTACTGCGGTCATCAATTGTTATAGTAGCATCAAAAGCACCGAGTACACTTAAAGGTTTTTGACTAACATAGGGTAATAATATCTTCCCAGGATTCTTAATTTGATTCGTGACTTTCACTTTATGGCTTTTCAGATGTTCCCATGTCTTGTCTGTAATAATGTTGCATTTACTACTACCCGAATCAATTAGCATATCTATAATTACACCGCCAACTTTGCAATCGATAACTGCATCGTCATCTAATTGAAAAACATAGTCCACTTCGTCAGCATTTTTCTTTGTTTGTTTGTTAAATTTGTATTTCTTTGTGTTAACAATATCATCATTCATTGAGTTAGTTTTACATTTCTGTTCTTTAGTCCTGCAATATATATTATAATGCCCAATGATTTCACATTTTAAACATTATTTGTCCCTTGATGGGCAGCCATTATCGAACGATAAGTGTTTGCTGCTACCACACCTGAAGCAATTCTTGAACGAGTTTCGAGTCGATGGTAATTTTTTGCTATCTAGTCTGTTAATTTCAGATTTGTTTGTGTCGTAAACTTTGCTTGGGCCCGGTCTATCAAACGCATCTAGTTGTCTATTCACAGTTTCTAATGTAATAGCAATAGTTATTACTTGCTGAAGGGTGATATTATCTCCTCCGGCCAAGATTTTCTTTCTTAATTCCTCGTTTCGACCTTTTTCGATAATTTGGTCGATTGGATTTTCATATTTAGCGGTAAATTGGCATTTATCGGCTTGGTTTCTCAATCTTACAAAAATGTTTCAAATCTTTCCCCTTCCTCCTGTTTCATCAGTCTAAAAATGTATCTTTCGTAATATCTGCTTTGTGGTAAGTTGTAGTACACTTCTTGTAGAGCGAGTCCATCAATGTGCAAGAGTGTGGCTCGCTTTTTTACACTAGATTCAATATTGGTGGCTAGGAAATATATTTCTAGGGCTCTCTTCCACTTTTCCCATCTCACCCCAAATGAAACAGGATCGCCTTCACACTCAAAATGGTTAAGACCCGGAAACGCTGATGCTATTTAGGCCATTTTTGGTGATCTGTAACAATCGCGTCACATTTTATGATATATTAACAAATACACTAAGAATCGGAGAAACAAACTGTCAAAAATATTAATATTTTCCACATATTAACCTTTTTTCTTAGTACGGTCTCTCATATTGACCCTTTAACTAAGTACGGTCTCTCATATTGACCCTTTAACTAAGTACGGTCTCTCATATTGACTCTTTAACTAAGTACGGTCTCTCATATCGACCCTTTAACTAAGTACGGTCTCTCATATTGACTCTTTCACTAAGTACGGTCTCTCATATTGACCCTTTAACTAAGTACGGTCTCTCATATTGACCCTTCAACTAAGTACGGTCTCTCATATTGACCCTTTAACTAAGTACGGTCTCTCATATTGACCATTTAACTAAGTACGGTCTCTCATATTGACTCTTTAACTAAGTACGGTCTCTCATATTGAACCTTTAACTAAGTACGGTCTCTCATATTGACCCTTCAACTAAGTACGGTCTCTCATATTGACCCTTTAACTAAGTACGGTCTCTCATATTGACCATTTAACTAAGTACGGTCTCTCATATTGACCCTTTAACTAAGTACGGTCTCTCATATTGACCCTTTACTTAGTACGGTCTCTCATATTGACCTTTCAACTTAGTACTATCGAACAACCTATTATCGAAGCCTATCTTCTAAATCACAATTACGTGGTATTTAAAATACCACCTGATAATATTTTCCTTTTCCAATCGATCGAATCAACTTATATTTATTAGAAAACTCGTTATAATTAGCACGTACATACCTTTTGTATTAAGTATCCAAACTGCACGAGTAATTAGAATACCAAATTCAGGCTCTTGTTTTTAGAAAGCAATAATAAGTTTACTTTATTTCGCTAACTAACTGGTGTAGTACGATATTAAATGAATGTATCATGAAATAGTGTCAATAACCGACCAGTAAGTTCTGGTTTATAACAACTAAAATATCAACGTAACTTATATACAATGCTCAAAGGTTTTCTATTTCAAAATAGTCATACTGTTGCATTACAATTTGTAGGGTATGTTCTAACAATTTTTTTTATTTAAGTATTTTCACACTTTCATAAACTATCTTTCCCTTCTAACAATATATGAATTTACAACTTACGTTTATCCTCGTCGCCACTTGTAAAATGCTCGGAACACTCACACTAAGTATAGGTACACTTTATCACTCCGTTAGTTAAAGGCACACCGAATACGACCGCACGCCACGGCCGTCTACAGTCGACTGTCATCACCTCTTCTCTACTGTAACTAGACGATCGCATATCCCCACCACTAAAATGCTGTATACTACAATACCCTTCGGTAGATTGTACAGAAGACCGAAGAGTACAATCTGCCACTTTGCCTTGCGTATGTGGACTATGAGAAAGCTTTTGATTCCGTCGAAATTTGTATTTAAACTTGGTGTATATTTTCTGGGACTTTATTGTAATAGCTTATACATAGCCCCAATAATGAGTTACGTTACTAGCTTGTGTTTGTTCCTAGTGTTTATAGAGTGTATATCACTTTTTTTACTAAAACTACCTTTGTTGAGAGGGCAAAGTCAATATTTTTATTTATTTAAAAATTTCTCTAACAGACTCTCTCAAGGATTCAGGTTGTAAATAGTGGCTCTAATGGCTCCCTAATGTAAACAAAAATAGTTTCTAAATCAGCCTCATTTCCACATAGCGAAATTCCATAAGTCATTATGCTATGTAAATAACTAAAATAAACTAATCTAGCTGCCTCGACACTAGTGAGACCTCTAATCTTTTTTATAGCATAAGCTGCAGGACGTAGTCTGCTTGTTAGTTTCGATGTACGAGTATAGGGGCCCCACTAAATCTTTGCGTCGCGAGTGATGCCAAGAAAAACAGTGGATTCAACAGGGCTCAGTTCTTCCCCATTCAAAAATACATTGGTATTTAGATTTTTAACATTCGATGCGACATGCACTAGGCCCAGCAGTACGTGTTGGTTCTAAGAATGAATCAACAAGATTATACGATTTAAACAATGAGCTAAACTTAATAATAAAATATTACAACAGACTTGTTCTGTTTACAAGTTTGAGCAAAACTTCTTCCAAAATATTTTAAAAGTAGTCGTAAGTAGCACATGGTGGTCTGTAAACACTTACAACAATGAGGTGCTCGAGCTCGGCACAAACCACTCCTACAGTTCATTCAACAAAGAGGCTCACAATATCCTTACGTTCTTTATATAACAATGATTTACCTGCTAATATTAAGAAGCCACCATATAAACTTTATTCTCTATTGAAGGAACTGATCACCTGGTGTTTTCTCAAATTAAGTACGAAATTATAATCTTTATATATTGATATGTATATTGTTACTATTTAAAAATAATTCAGCTTCCAATACTTTGTCATTCATGCCTTGTTTATTTTGATGCACCAAGTGTAATCAAATTTTATTACTTATTTGTGGGCTGCATTCTAAATTAAATAAACTCTTATAATTGCTAGAGATCGACTCTAATGTTGCATTCATTAATTTAAATTAGTTGTAACTGATTCTAAATTAAATCTCAAATGATTATGCTGCTCAATAGAAGCAGTCTTGGTAGCCAAAAACTTGGCTGAGTTAAAAAGTAAATAATAAGATAAGACAATTGCTACCAGTCTTAAATTATATATAGATAGGTAATACCTATATTATGTACAAAATTTTTCCTTAAATTGTTTATGTCAATTAAATGAAATTTGTCATTATCATCATTAAAATTATAAATTGAATTTTGTTTTAGATTATTTTCCTGTGGCAATCCCTGTATGTAAGGCAGTGCGAACAAGACAATTTTGTGTACATTTAAGTTACTAAGTAGTTCAGTATATCTTAATAACTGATTGTTGTTTACACTGCCTTTTCTACCAGCAAAGATTATTATGGTATATAGAATATAGAGTATATAGAGAACCGGATACCCTTTTTAGTTGAAACCAGGGATTCTATCTCAGTCCTCAGGGCTGATAACGCATCTGCATTTTGATGTATGTGTCTATGGACCATAGCATACACTTAACATCTAATGAAATGTGTTTTCGTTTATCATCCTTATTTTATAAAAATATGTTCTATAAAATTAGTCCAAACCACTGGTTTGTTTAGAGCTTAAAGGCTACCAGCCCATCAGATTCCTTCCAGCTCCAAGAGCCTCCTTCTAGAAATTAGAAAATGTTAGTATAAAACAGTAGGCTGTTACTTATGGAAGCATATCGCTTACGTAAAATTATAAATGCTTGATCTCAAAAGAGAGAAAAATCATCTTCTTTTCTTCAGATGATGTTCACGGATTTCACTACAGATGTGATTGCTGCTTCCGCATTCGGAGTAGCATGCGACGCTACACTCACAGGAGAGAGTCCCTTAAGATCTGTCACTAAAGAAATTATGGAGTTCAGTGTGTTTAGGGGACTGAGCTGGGTCAGCATTTTCTTCTATCCTGAACTTGTCGATATTTTTGGGTAAGAAAGTATTGTTTTATGTATATTTTGTGTAAGTGCAAGGGAAGTACCATGCTCTCACAGAATACCAGCGTAAAATAGCAGCTGAATGGTACTGTGTTTCGTATGGCATGTGTAGAGAACCGGAGACCCTTTTAACTGGAAATAGGGCATTCCACAGGAAAAATCGACAAATAGCAGTGTATGTTTATGTTGTTTTGTTTTTGAGAGCAAACAGATTTAGTCTAATTGCATGCTGTGTGGCATTCCATCTTAGTCTTCGGAGTCAATAAATAGAATTGAGAAAGAAGCTACCGCCTGAAATACAGGTATCCGAGTTAGAGATTGTTGACCACTACAAATTTCTGTACATGTAACATTTTTCCAAAAAAGTTATTAATTAAAACGACGAAGCTACTTCTTCGTTCAAAAGCTGTTTTTGGATTCCGAGTTTGAAATTATTTTGAAGAGGAGAAAGGTTCTCTACGATTGATGCTCTACGTATACAGTCTGTCCACTAAGATAAAGATGCTGGTGTGTCACGCTGCCTTGGCACGTGCCGCATATTGTCAAAGGCGCCGCCGCGACATCAAAGGTCGCCGCGTGTGGCGTACATCTGCAAGAGAATTTGGCATTTTAAAACGAAGCGCCGTAGTGAAAGATTTTTTTTTACTTAACTTATGCTTATTACTTATATTCGTATTTTATTACACTAACCATAGGAAAACATTTATTTAAGAAACATACAAAATAATAAAATAAAAGCAAAATAATAAGTGCACCTCCGGGTGTACCGACGCATCTTAGTGAACAGACTATATTTTTTTAATAGAATATAGGTGACAAACGAGCACGCAATCCACCTGGTGGTAAGTGGTTTCTGTGGCCCATAGACATCTACATCTATCTTCGTTTGCGAATCAAAATGCAGATGCGTTGTCACCCGTGAGAACTACGATGGAATGCCTCTTTTCCAGTAAAATGGGTCTCCGATTTTCTACACTCACCATACGAAACACAGCAGCATTAAGCTGCTATTTTACGCCGGTATTTTGTGAGAGCGAAGTCCTTCCCCGGTCGGGTCGACCCATTCGTGTTACAACTATACTATTAATATAGCTGCAGCATGGCTCTACTACGTGTATATATCAAGTATCACGTATATGTCAAGTTTACTAGAAAATAAACACTACGAGTTTTATCGACCAAATTGGCGATATATTGAAGATGGGCTAAGTTAAGACCACCCTTAACCAACGAACATATATACTTAGAAATATGGATGTGAAAGTAGTGAGAGAGGTGTGTTAAGATTGTGCCAAATATAAGTCAGTAGTCTTTCCCTACACCTATGTGTTGCAGGCGTAAGAGTTTTTGTTATGATAATCACTACGTACTTACATCGACTATTTTGATATTTTAAAAATAGATTATCTCTTATATAAGGAAAATATTCTACTTGACATACTGCAGCTATATTAGTAGTATATAGTTGTAGCACGAATATGCTGTGTTTCGTATGGTGAGTGTAGAGAACCGGAGAACCTTTTTACAGGAAAAGAGTAATTCCGTCTTAGTCCTCGCGGGTGACAACGCATCTGCATTTTGATTGTTTATTGAGGATATATGTAGATGTATATGGGTCACAGCAGCCACTTACTGTCAGGTGGACTGTGTGTTCGTTTGTCACCCTATCCTATAAATAAAAAAATGGAAATTGTGTACTCATAACGAAACGAATTTATATATTTCTTTAGATTTACCTCTTTACCAAAATCTGTAACGGAATACTTTAAAAAAATTTTTCGCATGATCGTTGCTGAAAGAGGAGGATATGACGTTGAGATAAAAGAGAATAGAGACTTGTTTGATGCTTTGATAAAGCTAAAACAAGACTGTCTAAAAGAGAATAAAGGTAAGCTTTGCGATTTGTGTATATTTTTACTGCTCCACTTTTAGTTATTGAAGAACTACTTTGATATCTTGCTCATACAATACAATACAGTAAGTTCAGTGTTTTTTTTTTTTTGTATAAAACTGAAGTGACCAACGAACTTGCAGTCCACCTGATGGCTAGTGGCTACTTCAGTCCATGGACACCTGCAGCCAAGTTCAAATAAAGATGGCTACAGATACGTTGTCACCTATGAGGAATAAGATGGACTGCCTCATAACCTGTTATTATACTGCCTCCACATACCCTTTAGACCGGGAAGTTGACAGCAGAAATAGATAACGGGTGTTACCTTCCCAGATGAATTCCTAGGCTGAAAAACAGTTCTATCACCTAGTAATTTGTGAATAACATGTGAATTAATAAAGTTGCAAACATTTTAATAAATTAAAAAAATAATTGAAGAAGTTGTCGATAGCAACTTCGATGCTACAAACATAAATTATTGAAAGAATTTTATACAGTAGGTTTCGTAAGAAGCGACGATATTCTAATATTCTATAGTCTAAATTCATCTCATTTTACACCACATATAAAAACCCCTCGACAGCTACGTCGAGAAACTGAACCTAAAGTGCGCGACCAGAGAATAGCCAGGTGGATTAGCAGCCGTAGTACGTTTAGTACGGTAGTTACGGCAAGCATTCTGGAAGAAGCTAATGTTTAGTAAAGAATATATTTAAGGGCCGACGAGGATGATGTTTTTTAAGCAGGTTATCCGATGATCTGTTGAAAGTCGTACAATGTTTCAGTACGAACCTTTCATCATCAACATCATCGTTATTACAGCCCTTCACAATTCCACTGCTGACCATTGGCCTCCCCCAAGAAATGTCATAGAGGACGGTCCTGAGCCACCTGTATCCATCGACTTCCTGCATCTTATACCAAGTGGCAATGGGCCGGTTATGTAGTTCGAAGAATCGACAACCGATGGGGAATAGAGGTACTCGAGTGGCAACCTCGTACGGGTAAGTGAACTGTAGGGCGGCCCCACACTAGATGGAGTGATGAACTAGTAAGATTAGATCTTTAAAGCCATTTTGTTTAAATGTTTATAATGTTTCTAAGGTATTTAATTCCTCAAATAAAACAGTGTAATTTTTATATTGCAGATATTAGCGAGGATACGTTAGTGGCTCAAGCAATGGTTTTTCTGCAAGGAGGTTTTGACACCACTGGATCTATTTTCGCGTATTGCGTATATGAATTAGCATTTCATCCAGAAATACAGGTATATGTATTTCGGTACAGCCTATAAAAGTTTACTACTGGAAATAGGCTTCCCCCATTTTGCTATAGTTGCCACGTTAGGCAGGCGGCTTGGCAACCGCAGTTTTTATTATTTTGAGCTGTTTTGAGGAATATGTTGCTGCTCATGGCCTGTTTCAGTTTCTCTCTTTCGTTTTTTACGACACACACCAATATTTATTTAATTTTTAAAAACGGTTTTGGAACGAAGTTCTTTATGGAACGGTACGGGTTTGGCGGATGGGAGCTAAGCGACAAAAATTGTAAGATTTTTTCGTCACTACCCCTTGTGTCATAGTGTAGATGGTCTCGGCGGCGAAATAAGGAAGTGAGATGGAATAATATCCATCTCCCTCGCACTTTTTCTTATCTTGCCATGAAAGAAATATTATTTTATTTCAAATGACGCTTCATTTTAATAGACGCTAGTGATTCATTTATTTGTATTTTTTAATCAATAATATAATACCTAAAGTTATCAATAATAATATACTACGCAAGGAACTTCGTTTCAACCGAGTGTTCCACGACACTCACGCATTTTTTTTAACTTAAATTTATAAAACAGACATAATAATTGTAATTATTAAATTGCTATTTAGAATCAAATAACTTTTTCGTTACATTACAGAACAAACTCTACCAAGAACTTATTGAAGCGGAAGAAAAAGTCGGTCACGCTGACTTCGATATGAACAGTCTTACTGAACTAAAATATTTGGATTGTGTTATTAACGGTGCGTCGTTATTTATTACGTTTTTAACTGTTTATTCAATAAAATTAGATTTTACGGATTTTATCGCGTATAACTAACTTATTTCATTTTCCCAATATTTCGAGTAATTTACAGTACCAAGTGTCAAGAGGGAGGCTGAGGTGTTAGGCCTCCCAACGTCATAGTTAATTAGGACTAACTCGAGATTAAAATCGTTAGTTTTTAGTCCGATCTACGCAGTATGAACTTAAAGTATCTTGAAGATTTGCAGTTGTATGCCTGGTTTGGAATTTAATTTTATTAATCATAGGATCCCAAGCAGATAGTACCATCCCCCACACCCAGCCATCTTCTCTATTGAAATTAGGATTGTTTTTATTTCAATAGCCTCGCGGATCATCCTTGAAAGGAATTGGTGTTCTTTAGCGAGGATTTGTGGTTTGTCAAATTTGATGTAGTGACACAGTTTGACGAGTTAATAATATGCGGTAAAATCCGTAAATACTACTTTTATTTAAATGTGTGCTGTTCGCGCAAACATAAGAAATCATTATGTTTATTTCAAATAATTTATATTTTACGTGTTCTTTTTTTAAGAATTTTTAAAGATAGTTGCAGGCTGATTAAGTTCTGTCCTTTTTATTTATTCATTACGTCGAATTGTTTGGTAAAGTACTTACTTACTTTGGCTTAGAGAGTGTGTGACGTATATGCATATACGTTTATATTTAAAACTAGCAACCCCCCACTGCCTTTGCCTGGGTAGGATCTTGCGGTCTCTCTTAATGCGGCGTTTAATGTTATCTTTTTATTTTTTTTATAGGAGAGGGGGCAAATGAGCATGCGGCTCACCTGATGGTAAGTGACTACCGCCACCCATGAACAACTGCAACACCAGGAGAATTGCAGATGCGTTGCCGACCCTTTAAAAAGGAGTAGGCTCTTTTCTTGAAGGTCCCTAAGTCGTATCGGTCCGGAAAAATCGCTGATGGTAATCGATTCCACAAGGAAGTCGTGCGAGGAAGAAAACATCTTCTAAATTGCACAGTGGTGGACCGCCAATCATCCAGATGATGTGGATGGTATCGGGAGTTCTGCCACGATGTGCGTTCGTGAAATTTGGCGGCTGGGATTAATCCGAACAATTCCTCAGAGCACTCCCCGTAGTCAATACGAAAGAAAATGCAAAGGGATGCAACATCTCTTCGCAGTGCCAATGAATCGAGCCGATCGGAAAGAACTCGGTCGTCGACGATTCGAGCAGCTCTGCCCTGGATACGGTCAAGTGGAAAGAGTTGGCACTGGCGAGCCCCTGCCCAGAGATGGGAACAGTATTCCATGTGAGGCCGAACCTGCGCCTTGTAAAGTTGCAGGCGGTGTGCCGGCATGAAATACTGTCCCGCTCTGCTGAGCACGCCAAGCTTTTTAGAGGCTAATTTGGCCTTCTCTTCCAAGTGACCACGAAACTGCACGTCACTCGATATGTCGACTCCGAGGATTTCGATACTGGCTGAGGCAAGAAGGAGAGTGCCTTGAAACTGAGGAGATACGACAAAGGGGTTCTTTTTAGCGGTAATTCCCGATGTTTCAAGCACTTTACAGCACCCATGGTCATGAAGGGAACTGAGGTGTTTGAATTCCTGATGGCATAGTTAACGAAGGTTACCTTAAACTTTTAAACATTTAATTATTAATTTGTGGTCGTTTTTACACGGGGAAATGCTTACGCATACCCGCGTCGCGGAGGCAAAGACAGGGTGTGTCGGACTTGCAACGACTAAAACCACTAGGTGTTTCACCTTCACCGCAAAAAAAAATCGAGAATTAAAAAAGTTAAAATTAAATGCGATAATATCCGTAAAACTAGTTTTACCCCATTGTTTTTATGTCTTAATGGTATGCAAATAACCTATACAGCTCAATAAAATTTATTTCTATTTTATTTGTATAAATAACAACATGTACTTTTCCAGAGACACTACGGAAATATCAACCAATGGGATGGTTAGACAGAATGACCTCAAAAGATTACAAACTTGACGATCGTCTTACTATATCCGCGGGGACGCCTGTGTACATAAATGTTATTGGAATCCACTATGATCCAAAGTTTTACCCCGAACCAGAAAGGTTTAATCCAGATCGCTTTTTGTTAACAAACGAGAAAAATACATGTATCACAACATTTGTACCGTTTGGCGAAGGTCCGAGGAGTTGTATCGGTAAGATTATATAATATACATATATTATATGTATAGATAAATGTAATCTTTGTATATTTAAATACATGAGGGTAATATGGTCACCTTAAGCTTTGTCAGCCTATAAAACTGAAACAAGGAGAATGACAAAGACAAAAACACAAAGTAACATATATTTTTACCAAAAAATATGGCATACAAGTTTTGACTTCGAAAAGTCAACTTAAAAAAATCAGTTAATGACCATATTTTACTATACACTGTTCAATGTCAAAATAGCGTCGATAAAGCAGCGCCCTTTTGATCTTTTATTATTTTATTGACGGATAAAGAGCTATCGTATCATAAAGCCATCTATACAAACAAGGCTGTAGTTTTGGAGTTATAATAAAGTGATCGTATTAACCGGATGACCATATTACTCTAACATATGTATGGAATTGCATCTGCCACAGCATTTCATTATACCACGGGTTGACTGGCGGAGTATGCCGTTAGGCATTAAGTCCGCCTATTGTCACCTTATTTATCAAAGGTGTTCATTATTGCCTCATTTATAAAGGTGATAATAAGAAAGTTTAAATAAAATAAACAAAATATATTCCTCCAAATATTGGATTTTTTCAACAGAGATTGTCTTTATATCCCGTTGGGCCGCTTTAATAGCAGCTACATAACCGGCAGGGCCCGAACCAATTACTACAATATCAGCGTCATGTGTTGTAGCATATATATTGTCTTGTTGCATTCTTTAAACTTCCTCTCTTTAAAGAAGAAATAGCAAGTTTTAAGAATTTGTAGCCCATTTTAAGGGATATACCAAATCAATATACGTATTTTTCACTAGATTGTATTAATCGGAACCCTGGCGATCTGAAAAAAGATCCAACATTAGGAGGAGCAAAATATATGCTTTGATCTAGTGCACTCAACTGTTAGAACTAAATCTCACCACGCTCGAACATAGGCATTTTACATGGTATTTAAATATCTTGTGTATTGTTTTCACCATCATAGATCCACTACTACATAAGTTTCTACATAATACACTATATAGAACACATGGGTCTTTCCAAGATTGCGCTAGCACCCTCGTATTGAACATATGATCTTTATTAACGATCTTAATATTTTACAATTGTCTGGGGTAGATCTTCTGCATTAAATTGGTCACCATAATCTTGTTTATGGCATATCAGTGGCAGTGACTTTGG